ATTGTGCTTGACTAGTGCATCTTGATGACGAAATAATATTGTTACCATGATGTCTTTATTTTGTTCGCTCTCTTTCGAAATTCAGTCACTGGAAAGTTGATAATTGATATCTAAAATGATATCGGAGCCAGCCGGCGGCGAAGGAGGGGCCAATGCGTGAGAAAAGATTGAGCGCCGACTCATCCGACCGGCCGAAAAGGCGCGGGGGGGGGGGGGGGGGGGGGTAGTGAGCACTATTTTTTTTTTTTGGGGGGGGACTCCCCTGGATCCGCCACTGGACTGCCTCATACTGCACTTTTCACAAATCTTATCGTTTGTTTGAATAAAAAAATTATAGAATCAAATGAAACCTATAAATTAATTGATAGATATATAAACATGCAAATGCATTAATAAATATATAAACATGCAAATACATCAATGAATATATAAACAATTAACTTATCTAATGAATAATAGCAGAGACAAATTTATTCAAGATTCAGCTATCCATACCCTTGGCCTTGTATATAATATGGCGTACCATATTTTCATGTCACTTAATTTCTTCACATTTTCTCGAAATGGCTTAAGTCCATGCAGGCGTTCCAAGAGAGGGGGCTGTGGCATCATTGGTGTGGGGATAAACCTGAAGAAAGTCTAGCCACCATCTCGTCTTGGTTACAATGGCCTAATTTCAAATTATTTCTATCCCCTTTTCTTCACCATCAACATCATCGTCATGAGTGACATTTTCTCCATCAAAACCATGTTTTATGGTTGAATAAATAAATTGAAATTGAAAATTGAAATTGTACCGTTCTCGACTCTCAGCCATGCATCAGGTTTGTCGTCTTCTTTGTGCATGGCTGATCGTCAACGAAACGGAGTTAAGTCTTTTGTCAACTCTGTTCGTTGCAACGGCAGGCAGGCAGCCAGTAAAAACGAACCCGTTTGATCAAATTATGGAAATGCAAGCATTACTTTAAACATACAGAACTTTGTTATTCCTGGCTCATTTTTCCTGATTGAGGTGTCATTATGAACTTTCTAGAAATGTGATTTTCTCCTTGAAATTCAGATACCACCCGCCAAATGACTTTTTGGTTTCCTCTCTTCAAATCGCTTTTAATCACTCATGCGTGAGACATGAATCATATGAGTTGCATTAAATGAAAGAAGAGGATCTACGCCTTCCAAATATGTGTAATTTATTAATTATAATTGTGATTAAGTTATGATAAAACATCGATATTTCTCGGTGTCGTTTTTTCGGGGACGCATTGTATTTCATTAATTGCAAAGCCTGCTTATTCACTTGTTCAATTAAATAGACTTGAATTTGTTTGTGCGTGAACTTGTTTAATAGTTGAACTACTTTTACGTCATGTAGCTCAAATTGTCTCTCACAAAAGCACCTAAAAAAACGATTCTATTCCATATGGTGTTTTTATTATTATTATTATGATCAGAAAGGTTTGATTGTTATGCACATAATCAAGAACATGAGGTTACATGTTTACAATTCTATTCCATATAGTGTTTTTAGTATTATTATGATCAGAAAGGTTTGATTGTTATGCACATAATCAAGAACATAAGGTTACCTTTTTACAATTTTATTCCATATGGTGTTTTATTATCATTATAATCAGAAAGTTTGAATGACATGCACATAATCAAGAACCTAACTAAGGTTACCTGCTTACAACTCTATTCCATATGGTGTTTTAATTATTATGATAATCAGAAAGATTTGATTTTCATGCACATAATCAAGAACCAAACGTTACCTGTTTACAATTCTATATATTCCAAACGGTGTTATTATTGTTATGATGATAAGAAAGGTTTGGATTGTCATGCACATAATCAAGGAACTAAGGTTACCTGTGTATAGTTCAATTCTAAACGGTGTTTTTGTTGCTGAGACATGTTGAAGAAAAATGGTCGAATGGAGAAAGGAATAGATTACACTTTTCTGCTCATTATTGAATACAGGGACTCGAAGGGGAAGTCCACTCTGATATTAAGTTAGCTTCAATAGAAGCAGAACAATAATTTGGGTATTCTGTTGTACGCAGAAAATCTAAATTTTGTATTCTTACATCAATATTCGACTTCAAACGTATTTGTTTTTAAAACCCTAGCAGAAATAGTCTTAAATGAGATCCTCTTTCACATTATGATACAATATGAGTCAATGATGACATCAAACTTTTTTGGGCCCCAATGCTTTATAGAGGGGCTTTAAGTCCCTAACTCCCTTGGCTTTACACTAAAGTCGATAGGGGAGCACACCGGGTTAAAAGTCCATTTATTCAGCAAACAATTTATTATTAGGCATGACATTGTGTTTACCATTGTACTTGAATTTGCTTTATAATTGGATGGAACATTACTGAGCATGAAATCAAAAGTACAATCTTTGAAATAACTTATTTGACCATGTTTGAAAGATTCAGAGAGACTCTCTTTTAGTTCACGAACAAATCATATATAATTCTCTAATGCCGTTTAAAAAAATTATGGTGATAGGATGTGCATACTATTTTGAAGCAAAGCGATGTATAAAGTCAAATAAAATCAGTTCTTGAAAAAGTCCTATAAGGGTGAAAGTTTCTAAAACAATTACTTCTTGTACGAAGGACCATTTTGGGGGTGTTTTTTTATTTTCTTTCTCGAACTCTGAGCAGAACGACTTTCTTAGATATATCATAGCTAAATGCAAGTCGTAAATGTTCATCCTTTCATGAGTACATTTCCGGGCTGTATGAATAGGAGAACTTTAACATTAACCCATGCCAGATGAGATTCAATAGGTAAAACACATTTCATAGGTGTTCATACCAGGGGCGGATCCAGCCGGCGGTGAGGGAGGGGACCCAATTCGTGAGAAAAAATTTCGTGACCGAAAGAGGGGGGGGGGGGAGTTAGTGAGCACTATTTTGTTTTTATTCGTGAGCTCAACAGGGAGGGGGCTTAACGGGGGGGGGGCTTAACGGGGGGGGCTTAACGGGGGGGGGGCTTAAGGGGGGTTTAACGGGGGTGGGGGTTGCAGCTCTATTTTTGTTTCCCCCCCCCCCTTTGAGCAACAAAAAAATGTTTACCTTTTTTTGTTTTTGTTGCAGGGGGCCCTTTATTTTAAAGGTAAAATTAACGTTACCATCTTATTTGTATACCTATTTTTGGGGCAGGGGGCGGGGCCCCTCCCCAGACTCCGCCACTGGCCCTTACCACAGTGAATAATTATGAATGTTGTCAAATTTTCAGAGCACGCAACACGAGCAACCAGCAGAGGCGGATACAGGTGCAAAACAAGAAGCTATCATTATTTTTTATATTCATGATTCTTAGAAATCAAATAATGACTGAATTAGTAAAACAATTCTAATTTCGCATTATTGAACGGACGTCAACATTTCTACAGCTCGTGGCTGGTTATCCTGCATTCCTATCTCACACAATGCCAGAAGACTTATGTTCTTCAACATCCACCGATCGATTGTGGACCCCCTAACCCGGTTTCAGGCATGACGACACGGCGACCATGCTGCCTTGCTTGCCTGTAGTATCCCCATCGAATGTTGTTATCTCTCATATTCTTGTATAATGAATGGTAGTGGCAGATCGCTGTAGGCGGCTCTCATCCATATGCTCTTACCTACCGCCACTCCATGGTGACCCGATGCGGCTTGAAGATGTACGTCATTAATGAATGCTGGAGAGCACTGGCGTGTTTGAAGGAGGGGGCTAGGGGCAATGTACGTGCTTCTCCTGAGAGATTTCCGAAAAAAATTGCAGCTATTTTTTCTTTATTCCCGGCGTAGAGTTGGCAGGATATGAATATATGGAATAATTTGTAAATGAATGCACATGACCATAAAAGCACGAAATATAGACACATTGTCAAATGGGCCGCTTTTACCCCAAAATATGGCATTTTGGAGGATACCCATCCCACAACCCCCCCCCCCAAAAAAAAAGGGCCCTAAAAAGAATGGTTTCCCACCCCAGGGTCTGGATACGCCACTGCGTGAAGAGCGTGTTGAGGACCAGCTAGCATGGCTTTGAGCTACTGCCTATAGGCCCCTCGATCGCACTCCAGCTCGTCCTCCTCGCCATAATGGTAGTCTTGGCTCATGAATACTTCTCGATCAGTTCAGACCCTTTCATAGGCGATCACGGGGAGATGTCAAATACTGCATGACTAAAGACTGCAACACACTTTTAGGCTCAGGTGGGCCCAAGAGTGCAGCGTTTTACTAATAAAAATGATCGCATAATATCCTTCAAAATGAACAGGTAAATATTGTAGAAAATCCGTATTCCGTTGGTATCACAATAAATAAGCATAGTTTACACTATGCTGGTCCGTCCCCCCCCCCCCCCGGCCCGGTCAAATCGGCGCCCCTGACTACGAGACAAATGCATGAGCGAACAAATAGGGATATCGCCAGAATATAGATGTTGAATCAACTTTGCCAATAAAATAAGCCAACCCCTCCCCCAATAGATAAAGGTTCCTCATAGAAAGTATATTCAAGTTCACCTAAAGTTTTCGAAAAAATATTGTTGACAATTATTTGCGGTCACGTATTATTTTTCTTCCTCTTTTCAAACGTCTTAAAGATCCCCATTTCCTCAGAGGGCCAGAAAAAAATGCCGATAGAGCTTTGCTTACGGAGGAGAACTGATGTTGCATCTAGCTCTATACTATACATGTAATTTATGACAAGGAATTATTCGTGAAACGCTTTCCTGGCTCTTTTTCATAGTATCCAAATAATATTTTTTTACAAAATTTGCATGATGAGGCGTGGTTATCGTATTTGCATCAACAACGACACATCTCGGACATGTATATCAACTTGTGATTTAGAAACACAGCGGTTACACCAGGGGGCAATGTAATGTCCACTCCCCATCAAATCTGCAACCATGCACCCCCTCCTCACAACTCTTTCGCGGCGATCCATCCATATGCACAGCCTCCCTCTTTTGACGATTTATGAACAAGATTATTGCAACATCGTGTTTCCAGTGAGGTGCATGGCATTTAATTTCTGCTACGTGTAGAATCTACACGTCTTAAACTCTCACAATGAGGGTTGAAAAGTGCTATTTTTGCTCGAGTCCTATTTATCCAGGACACGGGATTCATTTTGTTCGAAATGACAGTAAAGTAAGTGCATTTTTAGAACCGTATTGAGTGAATTATGCTTGTGAGTGTGACTCGTTTTCAATTTTATTTTGAATGCGTGATAAAAGTGGTAAGTATGAATGCACAGCAGTGTGTTAGAGCTATGTGTATAAATTGAATGAGAGCGCGACTGTGTTGGGTGTCGGGCGTCTGTTTTAATCTTGTGCCCTGTATGATTGACTAAAGTGAGTTTTGATCTAGGCCTAATATACTATGTAGCATTAAAAAAAATCACTAGCTTTAGCAAGTGTATTTTCATGGGAAAGGGACAAAGCTTCAAAGCCAGGTATTTGACCAGTGTTTTTTATTTGGCCTGACTCCGTCAGTAACTGTCCAGATAGATTGTGCTTCAAAAAATAAAACGGTAACTTACCATAGTTTCCATGCAATATTTCACAAATCTTTGAAGTTATGTTAGAGTTAGACAGTATTGTAAAGGACGCATTTTCAGAGCTACCAAGTGTTACGCATTATGCGTGAATGACGTCACTCATTCAAGGGTCAGAAAATGCTCTCAATTTCGAAACGTACGTTATAGTATGCTATATCCTCGCTCGCGCGCCAAGTCATGGAAATGTCACGCATAGCTGATCTTTGAACTTGGCGTCTCTGCATTTTATTAATGATGGTTTTGATACATACTGACTGTTCATGAAATTTAATCAAAGACAAAAGGGAAGGCTTCTTATATTTCTTAAGCGGACACACAACTCCCCATCTTACTAACAAGTAACATAACAACAACGTTTACATTCTCATGACACTAGCTCTTTATCCATCTTCAGTAGATGCAGGTATATCTGATATCTGTGTACTTTTAGTTGTACTGTATCTTAACTTTTCCAAAATATGAGTGACAATTTATGAGGCAGTTTTTGCAAATAACAAAATCAAATCCTTTTCTGTCATTTTCTGAACAGATCTTTAGGTTTTGCAGAGGTAAATGTCACAAGGCATTCAAGAAGAAGAAGAACCCCAGGAAGGTCAGATGGACCAAGGCTTTCAGGAAAGGAGCCGGGAAAGAGTTGGCTGTGGTAAGCATTCATCATTCAAATTTTGTTCTTTTGAGTCCACCACATCAATTGTACGACACCTGTTCCTGCGACAATTGTTCCACATCAATTCCCTACACAAACCAAATTCGTAACTTCAAACATGGACCAAACATTTTACCTAACTCTAACCTAAAAACTAATTGCAACCCTTGACAAGTGAAGCCTGGAGCAATTGTCGCAGAGGGAAATGTGGAACACCTGTACACCCTGTTGCAAGTTGAAGAATTCCTATCGCGATTAGATTTTTTTAAATAAATAATTGTGATCATTGTTTTCATTGTTTTTTTAGTTTGCTGTAGTTTCTAGGCCTAGTAGTCTTTTACACAGAAAAAAGAAAAGCACCTGTTAAATCTTACTTTTGGGGTGGAGAATTATTTCATCTTTAAAATAAAATCCCCTGGTATTTGGAGAGGAAATGTTTAAATTAGAGTAGCATTTATTTCAATGTTTTTTACATCTTGACTGAAAGTATCAAACTTTATCTACAGAATCATGTAGATAGTAGATTTCTAGTGAATTTCAGTTACATGTCTCATGTATCAGTACAATATGTCATTGAATATATTCATGGTATCGCTAAAGTAAAAACATACACCACAAACTTGATCCTTTTCACGGAGTTAGTGGCTAGTATTTGTTATTTTCCTACATGTAGTTTCCATTTTTCATTATTTTTCTTTTAGGACAATTCATTTGAGTTTGAGAAGAGGAGAAATATTCCAGTGAAATACGAGCGAGAGCTCTGGCAGAAGACGATCACGGCCATGGCTAGGGTGGATGAGATCAAACAGAGGAGAGAAGGTCAACACATCATCAATAGGTTAGCATCACAGTTCAGATATACAGTGAAACCTGTCTATAAAGACCACCTAAGGGAGACAAGAAAGGTGGTCTTTATAGGCAGGTGGTCTTTATGTACAGGTTCCTTTAGTACATATTTCAATGTGAGAGACCATTTTTAAGGGAAACAAAAAACGTGATAGTTGTAGACGGGTGGTCTTTCTATACAGGTGGTCACTATAGCAGGTTTGACTGTACTTGCATGTGGTGTTTATTCAACATCAAAATGTGTATGTGTTTGTTATTCCAAAATCCATGGACAAGCAGTAGTTTTCTTTCAGGTCATCGATCCCATGTTTTTCATGGACCATGATATTATAATTATTTTTTTTCTTTTTAAATAGATCTGTCTTACAAAACAAAAAAAACTATGTGATATCAAAATTTAGGGGTGCCATGTAAAAAACAGATCTATATGCTATATTTTTTATCTGAGATTGGAACATTTAATAATAATAATAATAATAATAATAATCTGTTTAAGTCCACTCCAAATTTTATTAAAATGGAAATGCTCTAGGAAATTGAAGGAATGAGAAGGATTTAAGTACTGGTCATTGTTATTTTGGTGCTCTAAAACATCTGTCATGGACATTTCAAACACAGAAGTGACATGTAAAATATTGATATGCACAATATTCAAGGAATTTCAATATTGATGCATAATTCCAAGGAATTTCATTTATGATTTACAGGTAAACTTGTGCTCCCATTTCCATTGAGTTCTCTTTTCATGTATTTTCACAGGTTAAAGAAGGGCAAGGAGTTGAGGAAGCAGAGAGATATCCTGGAAGTCAAAAAGAGCATCCATCTTATCAAATCTCCTGCTGCAGGTATGTTCAAATTATCACTCATCATTTCCACCACCTTGTTAATCCCCCACTCTTCTCCCCTTTTCACCCCGGAGAAGAAGAGTAGGTTTTCTGAAAAATGAGATGTATTCCTGCCCTTTGATGTTCAGAGTGTACAATAGTCAAGTGATATATCAATGAAGATATTCTTGGCATGATGTAATGCCTTTAGTTTTAACATCACAAGGGCGCAGCCATTTTCTTTAAAATGTGACGTACTAGGCGAACTTGTACATGTTTCATGCACCAAGCTTTAGTTGGTAAGATTTTTGCTTTTCAATGAGGAGAAAATCATAGGTGAGAATGCAAAAATCATATTTGATGAAAAATAAATAACAGGGGAACAGTTGTAAATCATTCATTTAAAAATACTAAAATATAGCACTTGACAAATCTATTTCATTTATGCGAAACCTTCAGCCCAGAAGAGCGCCAACTTATTTTTGCAATTTTTTTTCTGACAATTGTAGTACAAAGATAAGAGTCGTATAATATGTAGACAAAAAGGGCAATCAAACTCTGCCAAAATATGTTACCTTCACTAAGAAGTGGCAAAATTTGGAAATGGGAAAAAAGATTAGATATGGAAAGAGTATATAAACATTTCTTGAATTGAAAGTTACAAAAAAAAAATCACAGAATAGATGGGGATGTGTTGTTGTCTAATAAGTTGTCCAGTAGGTTGTATATTTTGGACAATGTGTTTTATTTTATTTACTATTTTAGTTCTCATTCTGAAGAGTAATACACAATTTTAAAAAGGAAAATCTAGTAACATACTAAAGATACATTTCCACTGATATTCCCACGAATAGAAAGATTATCTAAAATAAAATTGGTTTATTTGTCATCAGGTCTCAAGGAGAGGAGAGCAGAAGAAGTTCAAGTCATCGAGGAGCAGGATGAAGAGATGGCTGTGGCAGAAGAGAATTGAACCTAGAACCTATCCGTGCAAAGGTTTACAATGTGAATACCAGAAGACCGGGACAAAGCTTGAAGCACAGAGACTGAACTTTAGACTGTCTGTGATACAAACATTTAGGAATTGGAATATGTATTGCTCGCTTTGTTGAAATGAGGGCATATTGTTATTATTGGAGCTACAAAAAGACCTGGAGCCGATTTAGAATCGAGAAACCTGGTGTAGACTGTATGTCGTCTAATGAAGGTTATTATATCTACATACTGTATATGAATTAAATAATGTACATGTACAACATCAAAATGGAGTGGCACAACTGTAGACATACTGAAGGAATGTATCTTTCCAATTTTCAACCAACTTACTGCTATCTGAGATCTAAATATTCAGTAGAGGCATATACCTGAAAGAATAATTTGGACTGAAGTGAAATCCTTCGCTAGTCAGAAATTACCCCAGGATAGGCAAGTTGAAGGATGATTTGCCAGGCATTTCCTCAGTTAAAAAGCTGTTCGATGTGCCACTGCATTTTGCTAAGCCAACATAAAGTCTAGCATTTGCATCATTTTGATTTGCATATTTTCCAAGAATAATAATAATAATAATAATAGTGGGTTCTTGTATAGCGCACATGTCAGTCAGATTTGACCCGCCTGGCGCTCCCGATTATTACCCTGGCTTTAGCACGGCTGCCATACGGCGCTCTAGCATTTCAAGGAATAAATTCCTACCAGGTCTTTTAAGTGATATTTGCGGTAATCTCGTCAAAATTACAATTTTTAACTACAACTACTGTAAGGTGGGTTTGTGCTCAATCTTCTCTCTCGAGCAACCTACACAATTTATAGCTAATTTCTTAAATGATGGCATTTATAGCGAGTTTCAAAAGTATGTGACATTAATATGTACATGCTCCTATAATGAAAGGCAAGGTTGAAATGTAAGGACTCTGAATTTTAAATGTGATATATTAATTGTATCTGGGTGTTTTTTTATATCCAGAGCTTGTAAATAACATTCTTTTAGATTTATTTTTGTTTCCCCTCTTCAGTTAATATTCTGAATTATGTAGAGGAGGAAGCCTTTCATAAATAGGTAAACCCTTTGGTTAGAAATAGAAATGAACCTGCTATTATTTAGGTTTACGGATTATAAGAAGAAAAACATCAGTATATTATTACCGGTAACAATTGTCTGAAGTAATTCCCATTGGTTGTAGCACAAATATCTGCAACATTTGATAGACACTATTTTTTAAGTTCTTACCTTTCAAATTTTACACTCTTCTTAAAAACAAAGACTTGTGCAAGTTTTAAAGGGATATTTGAAGAAAAAAACACTAGGAAATGCATGTTCATGCAGGGTCAATGATTAAATAATATTTCTACATTCCCAAGTCTGAATGAAGGAGTTCAGTTATTATAGGCAAAGTCAAACCAGTCCCCCCCCCCCCCCCCCTCTTGTTAGTTTTGTTCTAACCGATATCAGTATACAAAGATATTTAATGTGAAGTGTACATGTATGCATGTTAGTGTGAACATGTGAATAAACCTGTATTATAATGTATTTATATTGTCAATGGTGCATGTTTTCTGTCATGTCATTATTAATTAGCCACTTTGGGGACTTCGCCACTTTTGGGACTGTGCTTTGTGTAATGTACAGTTGCAGGCCGGTATCATGTACATACTTGTATGTTGAAAATACAAACTTTAAATATTTGCTTCTGTAAAGACTCGGAGATATTACAGGTTACATATATGGAAATTACAAACTATGAAGGTGACTCGTAAGTAGAATAGATGACACATACAACTTGGTATGCAAGGGAGGTACATGTATCTAAGAGTTAACTTTCATACTGAAAGTCTCCCCCCCCCCCCTTCTCTCTCTATCTAAACATGTATATACATCTCTACCTTTTTTTTCTCTCTCTGTCATTCTCTTTCTTTCTTTCTCTTTCTCTCTCTCCCTCTATTGTTCTCTTTTGACTGCAAACAACAATGGCAAAGAATAAAAATCATAATGATATCTGGGTATATTGAAAGATGACCTTTAATTCATGCCAAATTTTCATGCAATTTGGCGTTTTGGCCTGAACTTCTTTCGACAACATGCATATTTACACAAAATACATTTACATACATATATGTACCGGTATATGTTTTCCAAATGATCAATGACTTGAAATGCCATAAAAAATGCCAATTCCAATTGAAGAAATAATAGTGAACACATTTGTTCTCAACTTAAACGAACGAAGCAAACATATATATACATGTATTTATATTTATATACATGTAAAGTCGTACACAGATTTTCAAATGATTACATCATTTACATGTATGAACGTCTCGAACGAACGTTTGAAAAATAGGATATGATAAATCTTTTCTTTTCAAATCTAGGGTAAAGAATTGTGTAATGGATCATACCAGATTTTTTTAAATACCTTTTTTAATATTGGTAAATGCATAAAAATATAATGTGATAAGTATTAGTTAATTATCAACTACTTTACCTCGCAGTCACTACTTGTGTAAACAGCAAGAAATGCTAACATTATTGAATTAATGATGGTAGTATGAAGAGCTTTGGTGAAATTGGTGCAGTTTACCTATAGAAAACGAATCTATAAATAATTTAGATTCTATATATGAATTCCCACTACATGAAATCTAATGAAATTGAAATCATCAAATCAGAACTTATGGGGATCTTTTTTCTTCTTTCTCTGCACCTGCCTCTCTATGTGTAGCACCAAAGTTATACATTAACAATAACATGCTCCAAGTGAGTTAGTGACTATGAGGCTGTTCACACCGCAATGAGATAGCGGGGTCTATCGTAGCACCCCCCTTTTTCTAGCACGCGCTACACCGCGCTATCTCTCATGGACCACCCCCAAGAGGTGCTCCAGTGGCACGCCGTGTCGGCTCGCCGTGGCTCGCTGTTGGGCGGACCGAAACGACGTTGTACCTTCCAAACCGCAGAGATAGCGCGGTCTAGCGCACGCTATCTCTGCTGGTGTGAACAGCCTCTATGACTTAAAGGGAACTGAGCTTATCCCTGACTCTGACATGTACATGTAAGTTTAGCGACCACGCATAAATTGTCATCACTCATAGATATAAATTTGAGTTGCCTGTATAAACACCAAACACATGTTCAACAAAAAAATTGTTTTGAAAAAATAACAAATCCTAATCATTGGAGTTCCATGTCAATTTCCTCATCAAAAAAAAATTAATTCCATCATATGGAAAGAGTTGTCAAACAAACAAGTACGCTGTGCATTGCGCTGTTAGCAAAACATCTTTGCAGTCATTCTTTACACACCTTGTTGTTCACACTCTGGCTATCCCAATAAAGCCAAAAGAAAAGTACCCTGTCGAATCAGGACTTGAAAAATACAGTGGTCAGGTCAGGTCTGGTGTAATCATTAAAAGAAACCAAAAGATATAGTGGATACAAATCGTCAAATACATGTTATTTTTGAAAGAATTCATGCCACAGCATGCACATGTTTATTTCCTGGAAACATCTTACTCCTGTATTGGCCAATGGCAACATGTTTCTTCATGAAGTGTTTGACAAATGATATTCTGAGTGCATGCCTAATAAGTTTAAAAAGCAAAAGGTGAAGTGTTTGACAGCTCGGTTCTCGTGATTCTCTTTCCTATTCAGTCATATAACAATCGGAAGGTAACAGGCTTCATTAGCTATCAGTCATGAGTTCTGTTCATCCTCGATATCCGATGTCCTTGATACCTTTTTCGTCATTACTCAAGAGAGTGTCAAACTCGTAAATGGTTCTTCCGTATCCTTAACCAGCTATTACCACTCTGCCAGTCTGTCCGGCATCTACTACATGGCATTTATAATTCTGGAATACCTCATGTAAAAGGTCTTCTAGAAATTTCATCCAGTCCTTTTCGGTGTCTTCAAGTTCGAGATGACGCATCCATATCCTAGAACCGCTTACTGCTACACAAATCAATCCAATTTCTACTTCTCAGCATTACATCTGGAACCTTGGGTACGAGAGGTTTTCAAGAATCTTTATCCGTAGAGACACTGTCCTGTCCTTTAGCACCATCTCCGTGATGATGCACCTCTTTAAAACTTGCCGACTGCTCCAACAATCAATGCCATCTTAACTTCTTAGCAATTCCATTATAACTCTGGAATCTCTGGTATATTCAGTTTCCAAAACTCTTCATCATGTCCTTTTGCAGAATCTCCACGACGAATCATATATATTGTATATCCTAAAACCATCTCCAAGTTGATGTACATCTTTAAAACTTGCTGACTGCTCCACCAATCAACGCCATCTTAACTTCTTAGAAATACCATTATAACTCTGGAATCTCTGGTATATTCAGTTCCCAAAACACTTCATCATGTCCTTTTGCAGAATCTCACAAGATATTTTGTGAACCCTAAAACCGGTTGCCCATTCCATCATGCATCTACTTCTTGGCGTTATAGTCCTGGAATTGCTGATTCATGGGGTTCTCTGGGGATTTCATCCAGTCTTTTTTCAGCATCTGCTTGAGCTGCGACAGCCTGAGACTGGGGTTCTGCGCCTTGAGGATCGGTAGGTTCACCTCCTCGTATGCCGCGTAGGCTGCCTTCACTCGCTTCTCAGGATGCTTCACAAGGTCAGCATCTTTGACACTGAAGCATGTTTAAAGAGTGGAAAGATGGTATGACAAGTACATGGAGTTATTTTAATACAAATTAATGGCATATAAGAGAAGATGAAGATGCAAACTGATTATTTATGCTGCGAGCATGGCATGGATCTGATATTTTTATCAAGTATATTTATACCTAAAGTCAAACAGAAACACATTGAAAACATTAGAAAGATGGATAAGACTTTTAGTTTCTCCCTATAAACTCTTCCACACATTTATTTGTCTATAACACAGGCAAAAAGACATTCTGGTAACATTTTTAATTTGAACACAAATCATGAGAAAGATTAACAGAGAGACGTAGAGAGATTGAGTGAGAGTAAGAGATAGATTGAGAGAAATATAAAGATAGAGAGAGAGGGAGATAGGGGAGAATTAGAAAGAGAAAGAGTTTTACTGGCTCTGTAAGATTATCAGAGTGACAATCCAAAATCGTTAGATACCCAAGAAAAGACAGCGATAAAGGGAGGTTAAGAAAAAGAAGTGGAAAAGAGCTTTCGTTCTCCCTTAAAAGCTCTTCCACACATTATTTGTCTATAACAAGGGCAAAAAGATAGATAAGTTTAAACTTATACACAAATCATGAGAAAGATTAACAGAGAGAGACACAGAGAGTGAGTGAGAGTAAGAGATAGATTGAGAAAGATAAAGATGGAGAGAGAGAGAGAGAGGGGGGCGTGAGAGACAGAGAGGGGTGAGAGACAGAGAGGGGAGAGTTAGAAAGAGAAAGAGTTTTACTGGCTCTGTAAGATTATCAGAGTGACAATCCAAAATCGTTAGATGCCCATAAAAGACAGCAAAGGCAGTCACAAGGGGAGATTAAGAAAAAGAAGGGGTGCTACGTGTGCAACACAGAGGAACTACAGGAACATATACAAAAAAGAATGATCAACTATACCTGAGAGCCGAGATGGCTTCTCCAACGTCCCTGGCTGAGACGACTCCATCTTGTTCCTCTTGTGCCAGCCTGATGTTTAGATTCTCTTCCAGAGGGGCATCAAGGTGAGTCGCTTGCTTCTGGGCTGCAGCTGCTGCTTCCTCTATAGTATAGGATTCAAGTAATTATGTTAAAAGTTCATCATTATTATCACCCTTAAAGCCTATCTGCACTAATTTGGCCAGGAGGGATTAGACCTCCCTGCCTGGTCACATTATTTAATTGAATTGAATTGAATACATTTCTAAGCTGATCATATTCTTCATTCCTCTATTTATACTAGTTTAATTACCCTCTTTTCCTCCTTTTCTATGACATAAACTCTTCCAAACCTCTTTTTCTTTCCATGAACAGTAAACAACAGCATTTTTTCACTGCAAAAAAAAATTAATGAATCACAACAAAATTAGAGATATGTCAGATGGGATTCAATTATTTTGTGGCATGAATTTTTTGTCACAAAGAAGTTTCTGTTTAACATTACCTCTTTCCTTTTCCATCCGTTCTTGATTGGCCTCAACTTGGGCCCTTGAGAGCTTGCCTGAGCCTCCCTTTTTGCTGGATGGAACTTTGATCTTTATATTACTCTCCTCCTCTTCCAGCATCTTTCTTAATTCCTCCTTTTTTGCGAGTTCTTCCTGCCGCTTCTGCTCCTTGCCAGCCTAGACGGAGGTAGAAGACAATACAAATTATTCTCATGGGCAGACTATTGATAGAACAGTCAAACTTGTCTATAAAGGCCACCCAAGGGAGACAAGAAAGGTGGTCTTTATAGGCAGGTGGTCTTTATGTACAGGTTCCTTACATGTTACAATGAGAAACCACTTTCAAGGGGGGAAAATGTGGTCTCTGTAGACAGGTGGTCTTTCTATACAGGTCATCATTAAAGCAGGTTTGACTGAAGCAATAATGTTCCATTTAGACAGCTACTTTTTCATGCACTTTACATAGAGAATCTGTTTACCAATATACATGATAATGGAAAGAACAAAATAACTGCAAGAGCCTAAAATGCACCAAAAGTCTCTGAAAAATGAATACAGTAAAAGATGGAGGATGAATAGATGAAAGTCTGAGAACAGAAATACATGCAGCAGCACCGACAAGGAAAAACAATTGGGAGTAATGAGAGCTTTAAGGGGTGTGTGCGATTAGGTAATGGGGCTAAAGTTCTAAAGAACCTCTGACCTAACTGACTGATTTACAGAGTGCCTTAATTACCTTCCTTTGTATTTTCCTGTTGACTTGTTTGTCGTCGTCTTTCCAGTATGCGTCCTCGCTCTCTTTCTCTTTCTGCGAGGCTATCGCAGCCTTGGCTTCAGCCTTCCTTGCCTTGGCCTCCACGGCCTTGGAGTTCTCTCCTTTCATCTTCTTAGGCATGATTCTTAGCTTTTAGATTCCTCTCAGCTTCCGCAAAAAAATGATCATGAAGAAGTGTCTTTTTCCCCAGCACTGGCCAGTAGCAGTATAGTTTAATTGAGGTAATGCTATGGCTCTAAAATCTCTCACCGCTACCTTTGCAGGTAGTTTTGTATTAGTTAGTTACTCTTTGAATTCTGCAAGTTTGGTTTCAGCAATAAAAGAGAGAGGCAAACCTTTGTTTAATTTTTAGCCAAGATGAGTTGATTGTAGAGAACAATGTCTGGTTCAGTATTTCAGAAATTAGGACTTACAAATTTGTATCGCTTGTTCCAACTATAGTAGAGATGCTGGTTACAATCTACAATGAAAGGGAACAGAAGAGGTACATACTACAAACAAAAACAACTTGACATTTGAAAGACCAGATTAAAAAAAATAAATAAATAAATGATCTATCGATCTGTTCAAACAGTTAAAACATTCATGCAAAAGAACTGCATTAATATATAATATATTTGAGATCTCATTTCTCTTCTACGTATTAACTATTGAGGGCTGGTTAAAACTTAAAACTCTGCTAGATGTGCAATTAATAAAAGTGGTCATTTTGTACAAAATAGTCTAGGTCTTGAAATTTGCGAACTGGATGTGCATGGGTCTCATCATTGTAGACTTGGAGAAATTAAGGAAAGGTGATTCTCCTTCATCTCCTTCCACTTTGTCCCCTCCTTTTGTTCCTCATTTTTTCCTTCTCCTCTTCCCCTAAGTTCCTCCTGGTCCGTTCTTATTATTCTTCTCCTCTTCTTCTTTGTCCCCCTCCGGCCTCCTCTTCTCATTCTCCCCTCAGGACTGTCTACATGTACGTCTACGTCTATGCTGGTACTCGTCAAAAGCCTTTTCAGCAACTAAACGACTGCTCCTAGTTCTAGCTTCTCCTCCTCCTCCTTAACTTTCTTCTTCTTTCCCTTCTTCAATTCCTCTCTACTTTGTACGCATTTCAAGAACTTAAGTAAAATTAAGCCGCAGGTTTCAATTATCAAATCTAACAACATGTTGTTCAATAGATGGGACTGAAATTAAAGCTTTTTTTAGTTTAAAAAAAAAGGAGGGAGCAACAACCTCTAGAATATAAAATATCAAATATATATTGTTAACTCATATTTATTTATTTTTTAATTCAAAAATACACTAAACAAATGCTTGATATTAGCAGAAATATAATAACACTTACCATTCGGTTTTTTAAATAGAATTTAAAAGGAGAGTTGAGATTCATGAACTTGCCGCCTCAGCTCAGACAGGCACAGGAAGCTGGGATGAACATTAGCCTTTAGAATTTAGAGAAAGAAGCAATCTTTGTTGAAGTACTTGGATGATCTGGAGGGAAAATGTCTGTAAATTATGCTGAAGGTCTTTCACCGTACGACCACAAAGGGAAATGTGGTCTTCCTGAGGTAAATATCACCTCTTTCACGGGGGTCATCAATTTCTTCTCAAATTCTATTCGGTCCCATGCCTATAAAATTGCGTTGGTGGATTGCCTAGAATAGATATTTATTGCGCCACTCATTTGTAACTTAAATAATCTATTGCAATTGCACCAGTCACTAGAAAGCCATATCTTAACCGAATTAGTTGTATTCAATTCGAATTATTGAATTCATATTACACCCGGATGCAATCTGCAAACGCTCTTTGACTTTGCTAGATTTTACTGGCCATTAAAATATGAGCAATATTGATCATGAAAAGACATGATTGATGATTGTCAAAAATGTCAATCTAAGTTGTGACATTTCAACCTAATAAAATTTATGCTGATTTGGAACACCAGGTATCACCGCACCTACCTCTATATTCCTTTTATTTGCAAATTAATCATTTAAAGATAAACTCCAGTAGGTCTACTGGTAAAAAAAAAAAATTAATTCTCACAGAATCAAACGAAACTTAGGGTCTAGACCTACACTGAATGTTCAAGATTACAAATAAATGACATGTGCCAAACAATTTTGGAAGGAAATGTATACTAGCTGAGTAATGAGCATAGAAAGACAATGAAATCAAGGTAGTACTAGCCCCGACACCATGCGTGTTGTCCCATATGGGCAATTCCACGGTAACGGAAGGACACTCGGACAAGATTTTTGAACTTCAGGTTTCATACTAAAAGAACTGTTTTATTAGTATAAGATGTGAAACAGTACAGATATAATACCTATATAAGTACCTTCAATTCTCCCCCAAAAAATTGTCATTATAGTTAAGTAGTTTAAGAATGTGCATATTAATTATCTCGGTAACGGAAGGACATAAAAATGGACATGGTTTTTCCAGTTAATTAGTGTTTATCCAAATTTTGTGAAGTTGATAAAGCTTTCCACTTGACTGAAACACATTTTGTTCCCCATAGTTTAATACATACTAATAAAACATTTCTTTTAGTATGAACCTGAAGTTCAAAAATCTTGTCTGAGTGTCCTTCCGTTACCGTGGAATTGCCCATATATAGCTTTCTATGTGAGTGCTTGTTACTTTACCAAGACTCGGTCAAATTTATTATGATTTTGATGACTCCAGAACCTTGCAGTGCACACCAATACTTACATGCTACATGATCAACTGTTTCTGATCCTTCCCACACCTTTTCTTTCACAATGCAATCGCATTACCAGTACTCAAGTTTATCTTTAAATAAAAAGGTCAACATTTAATCTATGAATGATTTCAAGAAATAAGCATTCTTCAAAATGCATCGAACCCTTGCAACAACAAAATATGTAACTATATATACGGCATGGCTGTATGGCCAAACAAAAATACTATTTAGTCATTCAAACACATAAATGAGTAAACATTTATGTTTTAAACATATTGATTTAGGCAACTCTGGGTATCATGCCATGTTGTTGTGAAGCTGCTGAAGCCTGGAAAATCCTAGAAAACATGCAATATATTTCCTCTCAAATTCAACATGACAGAGTCTTATTATAATTTAATTCAATTCCCAGCTTTAATGAGTTATATCATCTATGAATATAAACAAAATGGAATTTCTGTTTTATTTTAAATAGGATTCATTATTTTCTTAAACATAACCTATAAACATTGAGCTTTCAACTAACAATAGGAGGTAAACTTATCATTTTACAAATGGTTTCAAATTCAATTTGATTCTCGTTTAATGTAGAAATTTGATGAGCCAGAGGTTGTTGCTGAGAAGGTGAAGAAACTTGCAGATTTAGTGAAGAGGAGTCGTCACATGGTGGTGCACAGTGGGGCGGGCATCAGCACTGCAGCTGGCATTCCAGATTTTAGGTAAGTACCAGTATTTAGGCAATGCGATTTACCTGTATACAAATCTTTCAAAACAAGAAGTCTTTAGCTTTAAACCCTCTGTGTTGTACATCTTTAATAATCTCCTCCCACACCAACCCCAGTATTGATATATGCCCCCTTTATTCACCATTGCCCCTCCCCTCTCTTTTTCCATTCCAAGAAATTTTAAACATACATATATATATCTTTTTTCTTCTTTGAAGGAATTAACATACATGCCAACTGTTCAGATTAAAGAGGAACATTCCTCTTTTTGGGAGAAGATAATTATCATTTTAATGCAGGTGTTCCTCTTCCTGTACAAATTTGTCTGTAGTATTGAATAGGAGAGTTAGGATTGTTCCTCTTTTTTCTGAAAATAGCATAATTTGTACAGATTTCTGATTTTCAAATGTTGGCATGTATGAATTAATTTTGTATAGTATAACATCAGATGGATTGGAGGTCAAGAAACCAAAGAGTCAAGGCAGAAGAGCATTGCGGGGGTGTGCCACAAATTGATTTTGCAGATTCTGTGAGATGTATCCCTACAACATATATCTTCATTGATTTATTTCAAGTACGATAACATAACTACCGACTCTGGCTTTTCTAGCATCCCTACCTTTAATCAAAGTCAAATTATGTTTTCTTTTGTTGGATGAAATAAATCAAATGGTGTAAAAGCCTTAATGTCTACGAGGGACTTAATGCACAGAATCCCCAATTTCTAGAATTATGTTGCAAAAATAAATAGAAGATGAAGAACAGGGCCCCTTTCATACAAATTGTTATCGACAACTAGTTACGATAGTTGTTATTAGCTACCGAAACCCTTTCATTTGATTTGGAGTGAGCAGATTTGTCATGGATCTGTGGCAGTTGTTATTGATAACAAGTTTTATGAAACAGGACCTAGATCTCAGTTTTCAGCCATCAGTAACTAAAACTACTCTATGATGAAGGACTAATCGTTTGTGCTCTTTCGCCTTACAGGGGACCTAAAGGGGTATGGACCCTGGAGAAGCAGGGCAAGAAGCCAGAGGCGAATGTGACCTTTGACACAGCCAAGCCCACCGCTACCCACATGGCGTTGGTTGAGTTGGAGAGGAGAGGGAAGCTGCAGTATCTTATCAGTCAGAACATCGATGGGCTTCACTTAAGATCTGGCTTTCCAAAGTAAGTTGGCTGCCAACATCATATGTGATCGTGGGGTGTGGGGGGGGGGGGGGGGACGTGTGCTCACTGATTTATGCACATAATTAACAAATGCATTGTGGACTTGTTCACCAAACATGCTTTCCCTTTTACAGAGAAAAGATGAAGGTACATATCCATTTTACCAAAGGTATGCAGTCATACTCAGTATTGAAATATGACTACCCCTATAAATCCAAGTTCATATTGGATTTTATATTGTGCTTATCTATTTGAGAAAAAATGCTAACTAAGATTGTTGATGATTTTGTACAAAGGAAGTAAACAGCATACTTCAAGAAATTATGAGATTGTTCTGGATGAATTCAGGTTTCAGTTTAAAGCAAATAATGGAATGAACTGAATTAGATTTCAGATTTAAACATTTTATATCAAGAGCAAGTATATATTTCCTGGAATTCATGTATTTCAGGTTACAAAAGTTTTGAGCATGACCATTATTTCTTTTTAAAGTATATATTTAGTATATGGTGGACTTATGGTAGAGAGTATATGATAAGGGATGTTTCCACTTTTTCCACCCATTAGGGACAGACTGGCTGAACTGCATGGAAACATGTTTGTGGAGCAGTGCCACAGATGCAGAAGGTAAGGTTCACAGAATAACATTTGATTGATTACAAATATACTTTGGTTATGTTTGTCTTGATACAAACATCAAGAAAATATCTGGATGATTTCTCTTTCTTTGAAAATTCATGGACAATAAAGGTTTCAACTTTGAACAAACTTTAGAATATCAAAACATTAACCATATTAATGATACTAGCACATTTTTTCCTTCTATTCGACCCAGATCGATATGTCATTGAATTATTACCATTATTTTATTTCTGGAGGTCTATAAAGAGAGAATCACTCAACTAGGTATTTTGATCATAAGTGATACTGTGTGTCTGGATTGTCTGAGATATAAAAGTCTTTGTTCAGTAAAACCTGCATATAAAGACCGCTCAAGTGAAACATGAAAAGTGGTCTTTATAGGCAGGCGGTCTTTATGTACAGGTTCCTTCAGTACAGGTTTCAATGAGAATTTTTTTCAAAGGAAACAAAAATGTGGTATTTATAGACAGGTGGTCGCTACTAGAAGTTTGATTGTATTCGTTCACTTTGGCAAAGTGTTATTCACAGCATTTCCAGTATGAGATTCATAAGTAAAGGCAAATTTTCACATGATATATATATTAACTGTTTATGATATGTTTTTTAAACGTATAGGCAAACTATAAGAGCCATGCCAGTTCCAACATTGGGTCTGAAACCAACAGGGAATCGATGCAGTGACAAGCCAGGAAGAGGAACATGCAGGTACATATCAATTACCATGCTTGTTTCTTGCATCTCTTCTTGCACTATTTGGAAGCAATTCCTGATCTTTCTTTTCTTTCTCTCTATTGGGTCATTCACATTATTTCCCCTTATATTTCTTTTTTTTCTTCTTTGCCATCCTCCTGTTCTCCTTTTCACTTTAACATGTAATTTCTTATCTTTCCTCTCTCTCTCTTCTGTTTGTACTTCTCCATACACTTTAAAGCCCCACTGTACTATAGCTACTTGCGCCCTCTATATAGCAAACAATGCCTAATTGGTGCCTGTTGGTCCCCCATGATCCCCTTTTTCTTATGTTAATTGAGAGCTGATTTGGTGAGATAACCACTTGTCAGTGACCTTGCAGGAGAGTTTAATCCATCCTGGCCAAACTAGTGCAGACAGGCTTTAAAGTCTCAGTCCCCTTCTCTTTGTGTTTCTTAAATAACTTAGACATTAGCTAATAATATAACCATTTTTGTATTCATTTTACACATATTTTTAGAGGAAAGCTGCATGACACAATACTTGACTGGGAAGATGCTTTGCCTGAAACAGATCTTACACAAGCCGAAGAACATTTACGGTAAATAACTCCTCATCATTTTGTCTTCCTTATACAGTGAAACCTGCTGTGTGGTCGCTTAAGTAGGTTTGATTATGCGATATCTGATTTGATGTAACAGGAATTCTTCCACCATCTATTTACTTCACTTAGTATGAAAATAATAGAATGCCTTGTATGTATGACAATAATTAAGTGTTAGAAAGTAAAATGACCCAATGAAACTCATAGTTGGTTGAATGATTTTCTGCACATTGTGTGCTTCACGATAAACTAAGCCGTATTCCATCTTAAATGATAAGGTTTTATTCTCCATGTATAAATAACCATAGCACATCCTGCTGCAGAGGGGCATACCGGTATAAGTAATTATACTTGAAGCCCAACATAAAAGTAAAAAACATATCAGAATATTTTTTGTCATTATTCACTTGAGAGCCTGCTATGATAACCTAGATAAAGCAAAATTAAAAGATAATTTTTGTTAAAGCTCGCAGAATCAGTAAAAAAATGGGTATTGACTATGACAGTTCCATTTACTACATTTAATGCAGAATTTTATTATGCCTCCGCCACCGAAGGTGGTGCCGGAGGCATCATGTTTTTGGGTTGTCCGTCCGTACGTCCGTCCCGTTTGACCATTATCACAATATCTCAGTACCATTTAAGATTTAAACTTAAGACTCGGGAATAGTATTTATCACCAGAGGAAGACGATCTGATTAGATTTTGGAGTACGTAGGTCAAAGGTCACAGGTCACAGAGGTCAACTTATGAAATTCCTTGTATTGAGTTTGTTAGCGCGATATCTCAAGAACCATTTGAGATTTAAACTTCAAACTTAAGGATAGTATGTATCACCATAGGAAGACGATCTGATTAGATTTTAGAGCACGTATGTCAAAGGTCAAGGGTCACAGAGGTCAACTTATGAAATTCCATACATTGAGATTGTTATCATGATATCTCAAGAACCACTGGAGATTTAAACTTCAAACTTAGTGATAGTGTGTATCACTATAGAAAAACTATCTGATTACATTTTGGAGCACGTAGGTCAAAGGTCAAGGGTCATAGAGGTCAACTTATGAAATTACATACATTGAGATTGTTATCATGATATCTCAAGAACCACTGGAGATGTAAAAACTTCAAACTTAAGGATAGTATGTATCACCATAGGAAGACGATCTAATTAGATTTTGGAGCACGTAGGTCAAAGGTCAAGGGTCACAGAGGTCAACTTATAAAATTCCATACATTGAGATTGTTATCATAATATCTCAAGAACCACTGGAGATTTAAACTTCAAACTTAATGATAGTGTGTATCACCATAGGAAGACAATCTGATTAGATTTTGGAGCACGTAGGTCAAAGGTCAAGGGTCACAGAGGTCAACTTATGAAATTCCATACATTGAGATCGTTATCGCGATATCTCAAGAACCACTGGAGAATTTTCACTTCAAACTGAATGATAGTATGTATCACCATATCATAATATCTCAAGAACCACTGGAGATTTAAACTTCAAACTTAATGATAGTGTGTATCACCATAGGAAGACAATCTGATTAGATTTTGGAGCACGTAGGTCAAAGGTCAAGGGTCACAGAGGTCAACTTATGAAATTCCATACATTGAGATTGTTATCATGATATCTCAAGAACCACTGGAGATTTAAACTCCAAACTTGTTAAAATTGCTCTATGGCGGAGGCATCATTTTCGACTGCGCGCAGTCAAAATTCCATCTAGTTTGTTCTGCTGAATAGTTGTATTTGTTTTTCATGGCAATTCAATAATATCACAGCTGTAAATAGCAAGCTCAAATACATGTCACAGCTGTATTTGATCAGCACATATATTTGTCCACCATATTTCCACAGAGGAACATAGCACACTGCAGGCAAACACAGAATGTGGTTTTGATTTTCATTTTTTTCTTTTTCTTCAATGGATCTTCGTAGGAAGAGTGACCTGTCAATATGCCTAGGAACCTCTCTGCAGATTATACCGAGTGGGACCTTACCTAAACTGACCAAGAAGAATGGAGGGTCACTGGTCATTGTCAATTTACAGCCGACCAAACTGGTAAGCTTATGGAGAAAATACTAACTGTTTTAACCAGCATAAAGGCCACATCATCGTAAAGGCTGCACCCTGATTTTGGCTACTCCTTTGGAGAAAGAAAAATGCACCAAAAATCTTGTGTCAGATAAAATGACAAGAAAACAGAGTCAAGAGATGAATTTTTATGGTGTCAAATTGTTTAATATCACTAGGGTATATCTAATTGGCATTATTTTCATGTTACTATCCAGTGCAAGGAAGAGAGGGCATGTTTCATGACATTTTGTGAACGTATTTTGGAATATACATTGCAGACAATTTTCAACCTTGTAGGCTAGTTGTAAAGTATTGCCAAAGAAATCAAGTAATATTATTGAATCATAGAACAAAATACTAGATCTGAAAGCAAAATCCTTGTTTTGAGCTTCGCCTTGTTTGAGTCTGCCTACTCTCCTGTTTTTATTGTCCTCTATTGTGTCCCTGTATAACTCTGTCTTATCTGTTTCATCCCAGGATAAGCAAGCTGATATGAGGATCAATTGCTACGTTGATGACGTCATGACCCAGTTGATGGAGCAGCTTGGTTACCCGATACCAGAGTACACCGGACCCTCGCTGGTCCTCGAGTCACAGCAGGGACTATCCACCAAGAACATCAAAGACATCATCCACGTAGCAGACTCAAAGGGAAACTGCAAGGTTGATAGTGAATGTGTAGACGATAGGCGGAAGGTAGCAGTGAAAGATGAAGTAAAGGAGGAATCTATGAATGATGGACAGAAGGTGGAATTAAAAGATGAATCGAAGGAGGAGGTTCAGAAGAAGAGAGTTTCAGAGGACTTAGAAGTTCCCCCTGAGGTGAAAAGTGAAGCACATCTAGATTCTCATGAAACTCCCCAGGAAAAGTCAGAGCAAAGCTGTAAGAGGTTATGCCTAGATACCAGTGAAGTGATTCAAGATGGCGTTGCCAAGGAAACAGAGATGCAGGATGCATCAGACAATTCTTTCAGGACATGCAAGCATGAGAATGACAACATGAGGGAATCAGTAGACATTCAAGAGACATCAGGTGTATTGGATTCTGATCGCAAACGGACATTTGAAAATACATGTTCCATAAAACAAGAGATTCATGTGAAAAACAGATCGACTGATACAACAAATATTAAGCCTGGTTGTCCTGACAACTGGTCGGATTCAAAGAGGAAAGTTGATGAAGAGAGTGTTGAGAATATTACCTCAGGAGCAGTGAAGAGGGATGCAGAAGGAAACATCAAAGTTTGCTGAACTCTTACCTGTAGCTTAATTTTTTATTCACTAATTTGTTGGTTGATACGTTGCCTAAGCTATTTATTATGTAACATCAATTTTTCATATAAATGTAGATCGCATATTAAAGTTCATGTACTGCACCCTCAATACATTGATTTGTTTTAAATCTCAGTACAGGTAACTTGGAGCTACAGGGTTTTAATTAGAAATGACAAATATATTACCGGTATGTGAATTCCATGAAAATATGTACCAATTTATGACTGATGTATGTGGTTAGAATTTCTGTCTACCTATGAGCTCAGGTTTTCGCAAGTTGATTAAAGTCGCAGTTAAGCCTACCATTCAGGCCTTGTTCAAAAATAGGAGCTCTACACACAATATTTCTCTTCCAGTTTAAGCTCAGTTGCAACAGATGCCAATCTAATTCACTATTTCACTTGTTGTATTAGATCCCTAACTCCATATTGAAGATCAGACCATGTGGACAATTTTCAGGTGGCATCAACGGAATTACAAAGACTTTTTGTTATACTTTAGCATGGCTTGGACAATAGCCACCTTGGGGGATCATCCTGAGGCAACTCCACCCTTTGCCTTGTAGGATAAAAGAGCGCCTTCGCAAACACGACGGAAACAAAGACAACGGGAGAATTACGGCGATACAGCTCTTCCGTTGTGTTTAGGGAACGAACGCTATCATGGACGCGTACAGTCGGGAAAATCAACAAGACGGAGAAAATTCTGGTTCGTGCATGCGCAGACTGTTTTTGCTTTGCCTTCTGTCGTGTTTGTGAAAGCACCCTAATGTTCCTCACACAACTACAGTACTCTCTTGACAACTACACCCGTATCTCCTCAGGCAACTGCATGTAGACCTGAAATGTGAGGGGGTGTAGGTGTCCAGGGGTAATTGTCCTCGTAGGGACGTGTTTGTTGTTTGCCCTAGGGGTTAATTGTCCATTGCCTTACTTTTGGATGACATGAATAACTACCTCCCAGGGCAATTGCCCCAGACAACTACCCCCTCCCTTCCCCCTCCTATATGTTACACTGCATGACTTTACCTTTTACAAATTCCCTCGGACAACTATGCGGGGTAGTTATAGTAAAGCATTTTTTTGTCTGGGGCTTGCTATCCAGGAATAACTCTCCGGGGTGTATGGGGTAGTTGTCAAAGGTTGTTGTCTAATGCCTCGGTCACACCTTTGCGTATTGCTGCGTATTTATGGCAAGCCGTTTTAATATTTATTCCTATTTCTGGATATCAAGAAATGATTTTCTGTTGTAAAGCAATGGTAATGGTAAATACACAGCAATACGCAAGCCAAATACTCAAAGGTGTGACTCAGGCATTAGGGGGACAGTTTTCTAGGGATGATCATGATGTGGTAATTGTCCAAGAATCAATCTCTACATCGTTTCTTTGTTTAGACAGTTGGCGTGACAACTTTAACATGAAAGTAGAGCTTAGAGGTCAAGTGTGATGGTAAGATCAAAACAGTCATGAAGCTATTATTAGGTTTGTTTCATACACCACTTCCTCAGTCTGTCAAGTGGTTTTGGTATGGTCTTTGAGAGGATCATGACCTTTATATGACACAGACTTCTGGAAATCTGGTAAATGTGTCATTCAATGTAATTGAAACTTGTTCCATAAATAAACTGTATTCTTGTCTTGATTCTGTACGTGATCTTTAATGTTAATATTAAGTCAGTAAGGCAATTTTGTATTGAATGAAATGCAAAACAGAACAGAACTCCTGGCTGTTGTGATTCTGTATGTAGTAGTTGCATGTGTGTGTGTGATCTGATTCTAGTTGATACATCTAGGAGTTGTTTGGAGTAACTATTGAGACAGGGCACCCCTCCCCTTCCCCACCCCATTTTTATTTGTTATTAGTAATTTGTTAATGAAAAACTAAGGAAATATATAAATGAGATACACTTTGCAGTTAGGTGATTAAGGATACATTCCTCTTTCCTCTTCAATAAAAGTCTTATGTATGAAGTGACTTTCAGAGTACATTGTACCCTTTCCAATTTCTAAAAGAAAAATTGCCCTTCTGAAGCTCCCTTCATTTGAAGTGATTGCATGGATGCTCTGGTAAAATATTATTCAAGCAATGGCAGAGATCTACAGGGGAAACCCCTTCGATCGATCGATAGAGAGAGAGAGAGAGAGAGAGAGAGAGAGAGAGAGAGAGAGAGAGAGAGAGAGAGAGAGAAAGGAAAGGAAGAGGGAAGGTAACATGAAAATGAGAAGATATGACCCCATCCCACACCCCTCGCTCTATCTGCCTTTTTCTCTACATATATTTTTTGTTTGTGAACGACTAGACGGCGAGTAGTAAGCCTATATGAATTATGAGGACCTTGGGTATCTTTGAACCATCAACTAACAAGTCCCTGTTTGAACAGTGGCGGATCCAAGGGGGCCGGGTCCCCTCCCCTGGTGAAAAAACGTGCAAAAACACATTGATTTTACCTTTTTTTTCTCTTCAGATGGGCCCTCTCCCCTGGCGCTCAAGGGGGGGGGGGGGAGGGTGCGATTTTTCTAATTTTTGAGGGCCCCCCAAAAAAATAATGCCAACTACCCCCCCCCCCCTCCCCCTGGATTTGGTTTGGATGGGGTGTGCTGCTCAAGCCTCGAAACCCCTGCCCATTTTATAGGGTCATTAAACAAAAATTGAGGAAAAAACGGACTCATGTTTAGTAATATTTTTGTTAAAAATGGGACCCATGATTAGGGACTTTTTGTGAAAAAGTAGCCCATTAAAACGACACCCCCGTATGTCTTAACATTTGAGTCCCCCCCCCCCCCCCGGATTCTTTGATAGTACATCGATGACGTTATGCACCAAACAGTAGCGATATATTGATTAGGACGGCGAGCAAGATGGACATTCAAAAGGTTTCCTGAAGCGTTGCGACTGAGTACGGATTCACATTCAATAAGAGACAATGGTGCAAGGTTACATAACAATAAATAAACAAGCACTGCCGGAAAATACTCTGTCCAGGATGCAGTGCAGGGTACATAGTTGCATTTTTCAAAAATAGTTCTTTTACTCTGTTTACAAAAGTGTCATAAAAAGAACGAATTGCATGGGCAAGTATATAGTAATTAAATGCTATAACGTAATAAAGGCCACCGTGATACATCATTCAACAACTTCCCCCATAATGAGCAAATTGATGTGTATTCATTATATCTGTTCCTTGAGATAATAATAAAAGAGAAGAAAATTAAGTTAATAAATGCCCTTTGTCATGCAAAAGGCCTCTATTCGGTTCATATCTATTTTCTTATTCTAATTTGGGAGTAAAATACACCCAAACTTAGTTTAGATTAAAATTGTGTACAACCTAGCTTCTTAAGACATCCATTTTCTTCCCAGCAGCTATACTCCTTTCTGTGATTGGATTGTTGCTAATAATCATGATATTCTTCCAATGTGATCATTTCACACCTGCATCAACTTTTAATAATAATAATAATAATAAAAACGTTACTTATAAAGCGCTTACCACCGAAGTCTCTAAGCGCTATATCATATCATATCATAACGTATGTTCTTAATGAAAATGAAATATATATATATATGAATAAATTTATATATTCAAACAAATATATATTTATGTGATATATCTTTGAATATGATATGTTAATTTAAAGGCACACTACTTGTAGCTACTTGCTCCCTCTATATAGAAAACTTCCCAAATCGGTGCCTGTTGGTCCCCCATGATCCTCTTTTTCTTATGTTAAATGAGAGCTGAGTTAATGAGATAGCCACCTGTCACAGTGACCTCGATGGCTCGCTGGGCGGTCTAATCCCTTCTTGCTGAAGTAGTAAAGCTTCCCTTTAAAGAAAAGTTCAAAGAAGGGTACGTGCTTAATAATTTAAAGAAAAGTTCAAAGAAGGGTACGTGCTTAATAAATGAAGCGGAAAACGAAATTTCTTTCATTTAGTTTCTGTATCTCTCGGAAAACATTACGACTCTCTCATTAACCCTGCTCGTGTTTCTATAATACTCTGTGGTAAGCCTGGGGAAATCGTCTTCACATATTTTGTTTAGATGAAGGTTACAGCATTTACTCATCTTCATCATTACGTCATCTTTACCATGCAGGTAAACATGTGATGCTCATACCAGCATCCTCCGATCCACCACCACTCTAAAAATAGAGATAGCGCAAGAAGACTCGATATTATCAGAGTAGGGGACAATCTTTACAATATGCCTTGATTTGTGTTTAAAAAATATCTAATTCTGTTTTAATCATAGACTTTCATGAAAATTTTAATCGTTTTTAGAAGCTATACGACTAAGATTTACTTTTGGAAAAGACATGCAATATATTTTGTGACCTCCTCGTTGATAACTTATAGTTTTACCTATATGAGAAATGGACTCTTCCATATGTTACCTTGGAAAACACATCGTTCCATTCCAGCGCATTCATTCATCATCCATACAGCACACACACGCAAAACTCACTACCAATTATCGTTGTCTATGCACAAATCGACCAGTTCGCCTGCACTGAGTATACCGGTGCTAGCGACCGAACAATGAGGGTGTAAACAAACAGATGCAACCATACAAATCTTCAGCACACGGCACACTGCGTTCGATCGTCACTAAATCGCAAATCCATCTCCGAGAGCAACACGTACTCTGAAAATTTTTTGCCTCACATCTGACGGAAAAACACTGAAATATATTCAAAATGAAGGTCCTTAAATGCTGCTCCATCGCCCTGTCGGCAAAATTTATCATGTTCTGTCTCTCAGTCCTCTTTTGGGTAAGTTACAAGTCTTGTTATGCTATTTGTAGATCGACCTGTAATTTGACTTTGAATTTTGTGATGATGTTGCATTATTGGGATGAAAATGAAATATATTGCGAGAGTGCTTTCTAAGAACGCGATGTTTTCCGTCAATGCAATGTGGAACTGAAAATGGTGGAGAAAAATGAAATAACCGTAACTATTGATATATATTCATTAGAAAGTGAAAATATTGTGCTAAATTGGCATTTAATCCAGGGTGTATTTGTTTTTAAATATCGTTTGATAACTAACAACCTAGATAACCAGATAACGATTGAGGAATATAACTATACCGAGATGGATAATTTGTGAGCCTCGGAAACGAACCTAATTTGTTGCATATTAAAGCTGTATCTAAACTTTGTCTTAACTGAAGGTGCCACTTTCTTACATGCAGTATTTTATTACTTGTCATTGACAACAATGTTTTGTCGTCTATTCCAAACCCTAAAGCATATTGTTGTACAATATATTATAAATGCTCTCCATTATATACATTGATTGACATAACAATTTAAAGAAACACCAAATCTAAAATATATTCCAATTTTTTTTTCTCTCTCCAGATTGGTTCTGCTGGTCTCATGTACCTCGGTATTGAGATGTTCACATATGCCGGAAACATCCACCACCTTGCCAGCAACTATTTCTTGACCATCCCCGCCAGCGTGTGCATCGGTCTCAGTATTCTTTTCCTGACCGTCGGTATCATCGGACTCATCGCTCTTACCAGGGAAGATGCTAGGTTCCTCAGGAGAATGGTGAGTTGATTAGAGTTTGAGGAGTTTTATATTTTTTTAGAGAGTAATAGAATGAAGATTATAACCAGTGATTATCTTTCCGATGGAAAACATATGGTTTATCACACGTTTCCATTGAATATCACAAGTAGCAGAAGAACAATACCCCAATGTTTGGACTTGGTCTTTAACAGGTTTGAAAGGGATAATCTGCGTCATGAGAGCGAGAAATATCTGAAGTTAATGTTAAAGGTTAATGAGTTAAAACCCTTCTGGTACTTACCAGACTAATATATTAAAGTAACTGTAAGTTGTAACCTGAATAACTGAATTGGAGATTTACGTTTGGGAGGTCTTCTAATCATCAATTTTTATCGTCCTATATCAAACTTTTGCTCTCAGTTTTATCTTCATACATCCAGTCAATATGCAGACAAAGACATGATGAAAAAGTATTTTGACTAAATTGTTTAATAAAATAGTGATAACAAGCCCCTAAAACGACAATATCAACTCCTTAAATTTAATATGTTTCAGAATAAACATATACTATTGGGTTCAAATGGGTCTATATTACTTTGGGACAGTAAAATCTGAGAAAGTAATTACTCAGCATTGTCAGATTGATTAGTTGGAAATGTGACGTCGCCAATTTGAAACCAGACTTACATCCGTCAGAATGGTGATATTACGCTTGCCAGGAAATGACCTCAGATTAACTTCCAGTACAGAAGTTACATGGAGTTCCTAAACTGTACCCTGTAGTTACCCCCATGACATTTTCAATAAAATGATACTTAAATCAGTTAAATGTCACTGTATGCTATTAATTTTCATCCATAGCTACTCATGCTGTGACCATTTCATGTGGTAGAGTTTTTATATATATTTGACATACCGGTACTTCTTTATCATTTTCAAAGATGATAATATACCGGTAAATGTATATAAGTTATCATCACAGTTATCAAATATCAATTACCGGTACTCATATCTGGAAAAAACAATGTTGGAATTACTCTGTTTTACTTTTGATATATTCATATAGGAAAATAGTAAAACAATTATTGTAACTAGATCTGTTTTAAAAAAGACTTTATGTTGTAAATGAGAAGGAAAAAAAGAGTACATACCAAAGAAAATGGGAGATATATTCTTTTTCCAAAATGTGACAAGAATAATATTCCCAAATTCATCATAAATTGTAAGTTTTATGTCATTTTGATGATTATCTGCTGTTGCATAGGGTCAAGTTTATAAGAATAAATCAACCACCAGTCTATGGTTTACATGTATCTCATCTTTAGATCTTGATCAGGGAATTCAGAGATTCAATCTGTATGATGTGTCACAGAAACAGTCTTAGTTATAATGTGTTCTCTTACATGTATGAACATATAAATTAATTAATGCTATAATTGATATCTTTCTTTAAGAACTTCAACAAAAGGTAACCTCCGTATAAAAAGGTATCCTGTTACATTCTGAAACATGACTTTACCCATCGACTACTAAATTATGTTATTCCCATAGGCAGGCTGTAATACTGGAGCCACCCTGCCCATACAAAATGTGTTAATACATGTATTCCAATCGACTCAGAAAATGCATTGCATAGACTTATGGGGGAATTTGATCTTGTGGAAATGAGAATAAAGATTTCATATCATTTAATTTGTGTTCATTAAGCTGTATACTTATACCATTTTCTTTTCAATTAAATTCATTCAATTCACCCTGTAGATGAATCTGATGTAATGTGTACCCATACATGTAATTATAATAAATCTTTACTGGTATATGTTTGATTTCTCTTCAGTTTGTTGCCTTGCTAATGGTTATCGTCATTCTGGAGATCACAGGGGCTGCCCTTGCTATTGCCTTCAAGGAGGAGGTGAGCTTCAAGGATTTCATTCAAATACAATAGTCATGTTTAATTTTGTTTTAGTGAGAAGTTGTCATTATAATGATTATTATTATTATTATTATTATTATGATGACTCCTATTATAATAATTATTATTATCATCATTATCTTTATGATTAATTCATGAGTATTGGTGTTATTTATATTAATATTATTGCTATATTAGTAGTAGTAGTAGTAGTGTTGTTAGTTATTATTTTGTAATTATTACCTTTATTATTAATGTTACTTTTGTTGTTCTTGCTATCATTTTTTAAATAATGCAGTTGCATATCTACAGACAAATATTTGATGCAGAACATTGATCTATTTATATATATAAAAAGAAGTGGTCATATGAAATATGAATAGTCTAAAAAAACATAGCATAACAAAATTATTTAAAAAAACACCTTACAATGTTTTGTATCAATGGGCGCGTTCATGCTTGATTTTGAAGGCAGAATGAGCGATTTGTAACGCTCATCGTAAACGCTCATCGTAATCGCAGTTCCACGGTGCACTGTTCATGCTCACTTCTCCAGGCAATTCTCCTTGGGTGGCCTTCAGCTGGATTCGCAAACCTGTGTGCGCATGCTACGTAGACCCACTAGAGGTCAGTGTGTTGACCCCATTTAAACGCGTTTACAAATTGTAAACGCATCTTTTTGTGAGTTTACGATCGGCGATCGTGATCGCCGTTTTTCGGTGATTCTACAAAAGTGAGCATGAACGCAATCGTGTTTTAAACTAAACGCGTAACAGATGCCTGATTCTGGCCGTCAAAATCAAGCATGAACGCGCCCAATGTGACATCTATTAAAACGAAAGTGATAGCAATCCTGTAATCATTGTGATTATGGCAATATATATCATACTGGATACAGTAGAAAACATTAAAATGGGGAATCGTTGTAATGAGTGCTCTGTAATTAATACTAACTGATTCATGTATTTTTTTTTGGCAATTAACAGATCAACACGGGTATTGACAATGGACTTAATAACACCATGAAACATTACAATGAGAAAGAGAACTACCAGAGGTCAATGGACTACGTACAAGGACATGTAAGTTTTACATCCTTTTCCAAATGTCATTCTCATAGTACACATTACATTCAGCAAAGGCTGATATAATTCTATTGTCAAACTTTATGCAGCCTATCGCGAAGATATATGTACTAGAAAGATTACCAGTTTTCTATGCAGGCATACTAAGCTAGATAATCAAAATATGCAGATGATGTCATTCAATACATGTAGTTATGCTATTTAGAAAGAGGTATATAGTAGATTAGTCAGCTACATAAAAGAAACATTTTCTTTATCTCTTTGCAATGTTTTTTTTTTTCCTTTTCAATTCAATGATAACAGGAGGTCAGGAAGAGAATTTCTCAATTAGTTTTGACAATTCCCCAACCAACCAACCGGTACTTGTTCACTGCTGTCTTTTGTGTGCACCTAGCAAAATATTAAAGTGTATCACTTTTAAAACTTAATTTGTTATAGATTTAAATCTTTGATCTTTTGAATCTTTTTGATGGATTTAATTTAGTGATCAAGGAGCCCAAGTGGTCAAGGTGTATCTAACTTGAAAGTACATTGTATATATACCACTATGATTTTTGTCAATCTAATGATAATTGTAATCATTAGATCAATTTATATAGCGCAGCTACTACATAAATAAACTCAACTGGGCTGACTGAAAACCAAACATCTAACAGTGCCACTTTACAGACACACACTAACAAAAAATTGAAAGCTCCTGAATACAAGTGCATCTTAAAGCCTGTCTGTACTAGTTTGGCCAGGGGAATTAGACCTCCCTCCAAGGTCACTGATAGGTGGTCATCTCATTGAATCGGCTCTCAATAAACATAAGAAAAAGGGAATCATGGGGGACCAACAGGCACCGATCAGGCATTGTTAGCTATATAGAGGGCGCAAGTAGCTATAAGTAGTGCAGTAGGGCTTTAAATTTAATTTTGATTAAATGATTTTTCTTTCTTTGCTTCCAGCTTGATTGCTGTGGATCCCACCACGCTGAGGACTGGGCCACCACTCCATGGGGTCACGCTAACCCCGACATGGTCCCTCTTAGCTGCTGTAAGGATAACGCTACAGCCAACTGCACGGGGTCACTGGTCAACGATCAGTTCAACATCAACCACGATGTAAGTCAATCTCTGTTGAATGGATAGAGCAGCTTTTGGAACTAAACTGAAAAGTTATTAAGCTTAATTTGTAACAATTTTTTTAATGGAACTGGAAACAAATGATACTGATTTTGAATTGAGAGAATAATAAGTTTTGATTCAATGAAAGAATTTGGTGAAAAATCATGAAATCCTCCCAATTTCTGATATTAGGTCAAGACTATGTAGGATATTGACTTATATTTTATTTCTATTATCTCTATTAAAATAATATTCAATTGCAAAATGAAAAGGCAATGCATCTGTTTGGTTAACAGTACAGTATGCATGAAAAGGCATGAACATCATGGAAGGAGAGAAGCATGTTTTCATTGATAAAGTTTTTAATTTGCTTAATCTCATGAAATATATTTTATCTTCCCCATTCACAGGGTTGTCAAGAAAAGCTTTACGATGACATCAAGGCTTATCTTGTATACATCATCATTATTGCAGTTCTTCTCTTTCTTTTGCAGGTAAGTAATTCAAAAAGTATGAAAGAAATATTTAAAAAAACGGAATGCATGTGTCAAAATCTGGTTAATCCGGTCAAAAAACATGATAAGACTTCTAAAATGTGTGAAGTATGGGATATTCATTCACATCTTAACAGTAAAAGTGAATAATATTTTTTTAAATCAACAGAGAAAGTCTTACTTTTACTATATAGCAAGTCAAGATATAAGATTACAGCTCCCTGAATGCTAAGTGTACAATTTTACACTCTATAAATATCATCAGGTTTTTTTTTTTAATGTAAAGTTTTGTATCAGTTTGTGATAACATCCCCCTGTCCACACACAACATTTTCCGTGACTAATCATGATTAGCTATACCGTTTCGCGATAGTGATACCGTTTCGCGATAGTTTTACGACCAAAATTGTAGGTGTGGACGCTCACTAACGATACGTCGTATAATGAAACTAGTCTAACGAAACGCAGGTTTGGGCATCGTTTCGAACTGAAACTCGATAAAGAATCACGCCTAATCACGGAAAATGTTGTGTGTGGACAGGGGGAGTGTAACTAGTGTAACTAACTGGGCGGGGCTTAACGTGACCTCGAGCGAAATGAGACCAGACCTCTTATCACTATCGCGAAACTCTATAAAGAATCACGGAAAATGTTATGTGTGGACAGGGGGCATTTTATACGATGATTCTTTAGTGACGACGTTTCTTGTGTGTGGACATCCTGGAATTTATACGATGATTCTTTATACGACGTATCGTTATAGAGTTTCGGGATAAATTGTTTTGTGTGTGGACACGCTGATTGTGTCATAACAGTAGTTAACACAACCCTAGCCTTTGTTTAATCAGATAAGTCTGTGGAGTTGAGATTAGGAAGGTTATAACAAGGTCGTATTGTGCAGTGTGCTACCAGTCAGTAGCAGAGAGAATCAGTGCTTGGTGTGCCTGTACTTCCTATGTGGTATCCGATCCTGCATGAATGCTTGTTCAAATATTCACTTGTCTGGTACAAGTACAAACATTCAGTAAATCAATAACATCAAGTTTGCTGTATCCTTTAAAGGGATTGGAAAGTTTGAAAGCATATAACGTTTTTGTAATACAGTTTTTGCCCTGTACTAGCATTAAACCTATCACTAGGGATCCCAAAATAAGTCTTTATCGACAATGGTCCTTTAATGAGGGAATCAGAATACCACGAAAAAGTAAACATTTTTTTTTCTATCTTTTTTTTCTTCTTTTTAAAGAATTTATTTCTATTTTGATAGGAGATTGTAAATAATTCATGAAGTCTGAAAGACCCATTATATGTCATGTATCTTTTATTTTTGTAGTGATTCTTAAAAAATCCCCCCCCCCCCCCTGTAAATTTCATGTGATTAGATAAATGTGGTAAGAATAAAACTTTAGGAAATGAATGCATTTAATCATTAAAGGGATTGGGTAATTTTGTCTCAGATTCTGAAACAAAACCCTGGATTTACCTCATGCTACAATGATAATTATAAACCTTTTTTTATAACACTACAGTCTATTTGGGAAAATGAGGGCTTCAACATTACACCATATCACAGACACTAATAACATGTAGGGCCATGCATCTCAGATCTAATATTGTTAAACAATGCCTTTAATCTTTGATTTTTTTAATCTCTTTCCGCAGTCTATGGCCCTCTGTTGTACCTGCTACCTGGTGTGTCATCGACGGGACAAGCAATACCAACAGCTCCAGACACCCTCCAAGCGTGAGTCAAGCTACGGGTACAGGGCATAAATCATCTACAAAAAAAGACTATTACCAGACGCACAAATGTAATCAAGAATCATTGATATCCCCAAAAATCATCTACAGAAAAAGACTGTTACGCACAAATGTTTACCAGAATCAGTGATCTCCCAGGGTGTTTGACAACCTTGATATAGTGGACACCTCTACAGAAGGGCCACCTGTCTACAAAGGCCAGCATGTTCTGCATTCGCAATGATATATATTACAGCACAGCATGTTCCAGGGTATTCATTGGCATAACTGTCTGAAAAAATAGAAAGGTCTGGGGGGTTTTTGGAAAAGTTATCCGATCTATCCATTTGTGAATTAAAAATGGATTAACTTTTTCTTTTTTGAGTTCCAAGAATTTACTCAAGTCACACTTCTTGCTCATTATAACATTCCATTTTCTTATTTGTTGTTTTTCTTGAGCTCACATTATTATAAATTATCTTGACACCATAATTAGCTAACTGAGGATCAGCAAAAGACTATGATTATTTAGGTATATGATTGATCATGAATTTCATTAGTCAGAGTAAATAATGTTTCTTTGTAGGCTGAGTAAAGAAAATGTCTTTTTATGAGATAGCAAATAGTGTTATGAAAAACATGGAGTAATTGCCTTCACTTAAACATTATTTGTGTCACATGTTGTGCTTTATAGTCGGATGTTTTTCTAAAACAGGTGCAAGCTTATAGAAAGTAATGGTGATTTCGTGATAGAAATGAATTTTTAAGAAACGTGTAAAAGCAAGTGTCTTCTGTATGTCACTCAGGTTTTTTTTCGTCCAGAAGAAAAGTGTGTGTTTCTAAATACATGTTGACTTTCATATTGTGCGAAACCTTTTAATACCCTACATGTATTTTATCTTTGGGATGGTATTATAAATGTGTGTGCCTGTAGCATGTATTTATTTGAAAATGGTCATTCATTTTGAAGATTGTGGAGTGCCAGGATTGTCGAGTCTGACATGAGCACCATACAAGAATCCCTTATTATTATTATTGTTAATATTTCCAATACCCTGCCAAAGTGAAGGCAAAAAAAGTTTAATGAAGAGGATTCTAAAATGGTTTGGTTAGGAATGATCCATTACATGTAAATATATAACTTATTCCTTGTTAAATGGTGATCAGCCCAGAAATAATGGCATTTCAACTAAGTAAGTCGTTGTTAAATCTTTACCGTGAAAAAAGGTACTGCATTTGGATGTACTTAACAACCCATCGACGATGGCTCTTTATAAAAAAAAAATGTTATCGTCTTCGAGAGTTTACAGATTCCTGTCTTTCAAAATTTGATGATATAAATTCTTTTACACATTTTTACCCCTTTCTTATTATAATCATTTTTTAATGAGGACTTGTAAGGATGATTTTTTTTTAAATAAATGTTTTATTTGATATTGTGCACCACGTGGAAGTGACTTTTATCAGTAAATTGTGGAGTATTGTATTATATGTATAATAAAACTCAGATTGGTACTGTTTGTACATATAAATTTGGAGTGTTTATTGTAATCATTTTTCTGCGTTTTCTTTACCTTGCTGCATTATAATTCCAACTTCATAAATTATAACATTACCATTTCAGAGGGAGAGGGAGAGAGAAAGAGATTGGGAGTGAGAGCGAGAGAAAGAGAGAGAGAGAGGGAGGGCGAGGGAAAGGGAGAGAGAGAGAGAAAACGAAAGAGATTTCTTATGAAAGAGGTATGTACTGTAGACTTCAATTACTATAAAGAAATAATCATGGCCTTCATGGGATGATGTAAGATAATAATTTGATTAAAGGTATTACAAAGTTTTGGGAAATTTTGAAAAATGGGTGGATAGTGATTCTTTACAATTTTGATATATTTGGATGCCTCTGGGGATGAATTAAAAGGACTAGAAATGTTAGCCCCTAAAATACTTCTGCTTTCGAGAAAAATTGAATATAAAGATTTACCGGTGCTCCCGGTAAATTTTGAAAAATTTCAAATAGCACCTACGGCCGTACAATGGTAGCTGCGACCATGAAAATCTCAGAATATGTAGTTGTGGTATATAATTTCCGAACGGGAATAGCTAATCGGTCGATTTTAGTCAAGAAACATTGTTTTACAGCTTAATGAATATTTGACCTTGAGAGGGAGCTATACAACATCAAGTGTTTATTATTTACAATTTCATAACTTAAGAGTCGATTTCGACCGCGACAACGATCAGTGAATATTGTAGGATCGCATATGCTTCCAATATGTTCATTTGAACCAAATTCACGACCCCATACCAAAACTTTGTATTACCTTTAAGATATCCTCCCTATCATCCCCACTTTCATTTTAAAGATGCGCTCCCCCCCCCCCCAAAAAAAAAAACGCCTATCGTTTTCTCCCCTCTTTCTCTCCCCTTTTCTTTCAATCACTCTCTCTTTCTACCTTTCTATTTGTTCCTTTCAACAAATCTTTATCTTGTAAACCTTTCTATTCATGTCTCAACCCCCCCCCCCCCTTATCTCTCTTCCTGCTCTTCTCATTGCTTCTAAATGTATTTATGTCACCAAATTCATGTTACCTTTACATGTCAATATCTCTCTCTCTCTCTCTCCCACTCTCAACCTTCCACTTTCTCTCTCACTCTCTCTCTCTTTGTCACAATCTTCCCCTCTCTCACCCTCTCTCAATCTTCCTCTCTTTACATTTCTCCCTCCTCTCTACCTCTCTGTCCCTGTTGCTGCCCTACTCATGTTATTTGTATATACATGTATCTCAATCTCTGTACCTTTTTATCTCAATCTCTCTTACTTTCACCCTCTGTCTCTCTCATTTTCACAATCACCTTGATATCAACACTTCACAAATATGTCAGTAGTCATTCTTTGATAATGATATATAAAATAATTTATTTTCAATAATTCATTTTTATTGCAAAGAATATTCAATATATAACAGTTACCGGTATTGATAATCTATGGAAATATAAAGTGCATACATTATTCAAACAAATAATCTTGTCATCACAAGAACATATCTCATCTATCTAATATTTCATTGTATCTAATTCAATGTACAAGTACAAATTCAGTTTGAAAGAAATCATGTAATGACATCAGCTGCCTTTACAACAAACATTTATAAGCCTAAAACTTTAACAAGTGGAGGAGATTTTCAAAAAGTTACATGCCATGAAACAATTAAATTACATCACTGACGATTTGCATTTTTCAAGAAGAAAAAAGATTAAATGTTAATTTATCAAAAGTTTGCCTCATAGCAGTTAGGCTAAATTGTCCCTTTTTTAAAGGAAAAAAAAAGCATGATCTTCAACAAAGACCACAAAACAGTACAGTATATATGACAAGAGTAAAAACAGGATAATATAAAGTAACATTTTATGAGTTTCTGGATTAGTATGGCATATGGGCTCAAGTGTTCTTATATAAGTGATGTACAGTCAAACCTGTCTATAGCGACCACCCAAGGGAAACACAAAAAGTGGTCTTAGTAGACAGGTGGTCTTTGTAGACAGGTTCTTTTAGTACATGTTTCAATAAAAAACCATTTTCAAGGAAACAAAAAATGTGGTCTTTGTAAAGAGGTGGTCTTTGAAGACGGGTGGTCACTAAAGCAGGTTTGACTGTATTATGACTACACATGATGAACAGTCTAGTGCAGCAATTTGAATCTGAAAGGAAAGTGCACAATATCAAAATACCATTTGGATTGGATTGGATTGAACTGGATTGAACTGGATTGGATTGGATTGGATTGGACTGGATATAACTTCCATTTAAGAGATGACACAGCTATGATTCACGGAATAGACAGGATCAAACACTGCATTCAAAAGTCTTAAATGCGATTCTGTGTCATGTGTCCCTTACAATTCCTTGAATGTGGTGTCATTATGCAAAGATACTTTTCAATTCTGAATGAAATAGATGGGGGGAAAAATCATAGTCTTTCTCAGAATCTTTCTTGTATACATTTCAGTTGCCGCAGTCTTGTCAAGAACTTTGAAAATCTTACCCCGTTTTTAAATGATATACATCACAATTTCATACAAACAAGGCACACTGAATGGTATCCACCTTCATCACGTTACAAGCTTTCACAGACATTGAGGAAAGATCAATTTAAGCTCTGCCAATTGTTCGCTAGTGAAAATAACTTTCAATTTCGCTCATAACCATTCATATAATAGCTTTAAAAAATTACTCATTTTGTATTGATAACCTTTTCTGAAAATATGCTAAGCTTCCGTTAACCTGAATATGAATCGGTCGTGTTCGTTCATAAAGCTTGTTAGGCCTGTAATTGAGCTGGGTCGTTGGGCCTTGAATGAGACTACACTCTACAGGACGGCACCATGACAGCTCATCTAATGGGCAGATGATTCATAAAAATGATTACATTTACCAAGAGGTATGAATTAACATTTGAAGGTTAAGGTAACTTTGGTCTTAATCATATTTATTTTTCTTATGCTGAAACAAGACAAAAGGAGGACGAACTACACAGATGCCCAAATCAAACATCTTTGCCAGAAATTTAGATGAGGCCATACCCACCTGCCCTACAGAGTAGAAATGCCAGTTCAAGTGATGGACAGATTGGAAGGCATATCTTCAATGAACAGAATACTTTCTTTAAGAACAGTAAACGTGTCGTGAAAGTGTTGCTCTTCCCAAGAACAAAGGTGAACGACTCTGTGCCTTCAGGTTGCGATGATGAAATGGCTTTTCTGGTTGATTCGTCAATACTTCGTTACTCAGAAGATCTGACTTGTGATGAGACTGGAAAGTACTTGAAAAGTAGCTGCTCAAAGTGCACTGTAATACTGGATAAGAATGACGGTGTCAAAACTGAGGTAAAAGCATACACTTCAGTTCGAAAATACTACAATCATAAAGACACACCAAACTTCCAGAGAACAATCTACGAACTACACAACAAAGAAAATGTACACCCAATCTGCATCATTCGCTATGCATGGAGAGGCGAAAAAACTGAGCTTGTCTTTACTCCTCATGGCAACCAGAAGAATGCGGATAGACAATTCATTGATTCAAAGAAAGAACTTATCGAGGATCTGAAAACCTCCAAACGGTCCTCAGCTCAGAAAGTAATGAAAATATCTATGGCAAGGAAGGAGGTGTTAACATGCAGTCATTCAGTTCTGTACCAAGGGACACCAGCCAAGTCTATAGGCACAATATAGCAAAAGGAAGTGCATCAGACTTCAGCGAACCGCTGAAGTTGAACTTGAAAGGAGAATTCGTAAAGAGTGTGGAGTTTCGGCATGCGGGAGGGAGTGTAAGTGGACATCGAGAAAGACAAAGCATCACGGATTCATGGTGATGTCGTCGGAAGGAGCACCCGAGTATAGCATCATGCGATACCTCCTTTGATCGCAGCCGCTTCGTCATACAAGACCTCCTAGAATTTGTAAGGTCTTTCCTCCCGGGCGATTCGCTAAAAGGCTGCTTCGTCCAGGCAGGAATGGACTATAAAAAGACTTCAGTAGACTGGGCAAACTACACTCAAGATCTTTTCAGGAAGTTTGTAGACACGCAGTACAATGTCGAAAACCGCTGAAAAGCTGCTCCGTCCAGGCAGGAATGGACTATAAAAAGACTTCAGTAGACTGGGCAAACTACACTCAAGATCTTTTCAGGAAGTTTGTAGACACGCAGTACAATGTCGAAAACCGCTGAAAAGCTGCTCCGTCCAGGCAGGAATGGACTATAAAAAGACTTCAGTAGACTGGGCAAACTACACTCAAGATCTTTTCAGGAAGTTTGTAGACACGCAGTACAATGTCGAAAACCGCTAAAAAGCTGCTCCGTCCAGGCAGGAATGGACTATAAAAAGACTTCAGTAGACTGGGCAAACTACACTCAAGATCTTTTCAGGAAGTTTGTAGACACGCAGTACAATGTCGAAAACCGCTGAAAAGCTGCTCCGTCCAGGCAGGAATGGACTATAAAAAGACTGCAGTAGACTGGGCAAACTACACTCGAGATCTTTTCAGGAAGTTTGTAGACACGCAGTACAATGTTGAAAACCGCTAAAAAGCTGCTCCGTCCAGGCAGGAATGGACTATAAAAAGACTTCAGTAGACTGGGCAAACTACACTCAAGATCTTTTCAGGAAGTTTGTAGACACGCAGTACAATGTCGAAAACCGCTGAAAAGCTGCTCCGTCCAGGCAGGAATGGACTATAAAAAGACTTCAGTAGACTGGGCAAACTACACTCAAGATCTTTTCAGGAAGTTTGTAGACACGCAGTACAATGTCGAAAACCGCTGAAAAGCTGCTCCGTCCAGACAGGAATGGACTATAAAAAGACTTCAGTAGACTGGTCAAACTACACTCAAGATCTTTTCAGGAAGTTTGTAGACACGCAGTACAATGTTGAAAACCGCTGAAAAGCTGCTCCGTCCAGGCAGGAATGGACTATAAAAAGACTGCAGTAGACTGGGCAAACTACACTCGAGATCTTTTCAGGAAGTTTGTAG